TGCCCAGTGTCCCAAGGGCATTGGGCTAGAGGGAAGGGGTTCCTTGCACTCAGCAACTCTTTCCCCCCACAAACAATTGCTCTAAGTTGAGAGGAGTTTTATGCAGACAAAAGAGATCTGACTGGGGGAGAATAATATTAGGATTTCTTACGAGAAAGAGAAAAACTAAAGAACTCGAGATACAACAATTCTAACGAGGCAAAAGAACTATGTATGTACAGAAATAGTGCTCTCCCCTTGTATCAGTTCAGGAGGAGAAACAGTCTCTTTTCCATTTCAAGAGCTCCAGCTCTTTTAAATCATTTTCCAGTCCCTGAAAGTTCTTCTCCTCTGATCTCTAGGATGACTGCTCTGATTCATCACAGCTGGAACTGTCTTTCTCTCTCTCTCTCTTCTATGTTGACCTCAGGGCTGGGCTTACCCCCTCCTGGGCTAAGACCAGAGGCCTGGGGTTACCCAGGCCCTTTGAGGTCGGGACACTTGCCTACCATGGTCTTCCCTCAGTTGCACTGGATAATGGCTTTTGAGTCTACCCCTGTTTCTCCTCACAACAGACAGTCCTTGATGGACCTCTCTAGCCTGAGTCTACCTTTGGGCAACAGTTCTTCCATTCTTTGCTATCCCTTAGGGTCACAAATTCAGCTACACCAGCATGAGTCCCTCACTGGGATCACACAAATCCTACGCAGGCCGACTTGCTCCAGCGTAGGTCTCTTTCTCCATGGGCCACAGGTCTCCAGCAGGACTCTGTTTCATCTTAGGCCTCCCACGGATTCACATCTTCTTCATGAACTCCTCTGCTCCAGTGTGGGCTCCTTCATGAGCTGCAAAGGGTCTCCTCACTCAGTAATCTTCCACAGGTGGCAGGGGTTTTTAGTTTTCAGTCTTTTCCCTGCTGAAGGGAGAGAGAGAGAGAGGAAGAAAAAGGAGCCTCCCCTTTCAGGCTTCTGTCTCCTGCGGCTGCCAGCTTTGAGCTTGGAGGCTGTGCTCTCTCTCTCTGCGTGCAAGTCCTTCTGCAGTACTTCTCGTCCAGGCAGTCTTCCTTTAGACTTTTTCCTCTACTCTGTGACATGTCTCGGCCAGGGGGGCTTCAGTGCCACACCTCCCCCAGGGGAGAAGAGGGGCCTGCTCCCACTTGGGGTCTGCTGCCTTCCTCTACATTGCTCCTAATTTCATCTGTGCAACAGGCTTCTCTTTCCTTTTCTTAAATATGTAATTGGCAGAGACCTCACTAAAACTTTGGATTGGCTTTGCTCTGAAAATTCACCTGGAAAAAACTGTTTTCATCCCCGTGGGGCACCGGTTGGTAAACCCACAACAGTGGTTCTCCTGGAACCTCAGTGCTTCCAGCAGAGAGGATGGGCAGAGCCTGGACCTTTGGGAGCCTGTCCTGTAGGAGAGGGGAGTGAGAAAGCGGCTTTACTGGGTTTGGTTGTGCTTATCTCCAGGAACTCCAGCAAGGATATTTCTGCTGCTCTATGTCCACATGGCCCCTTCTCCAACCACATCTTGTCCTATCTCATGGCGTGTCATTACCAGCAATCCTTGGCTGACTCCACAGCCGTGCAGCTATTGGGGTTTGACATATACACATTGGCCCCTTTTGTTCTGATATTGTACAGCCCCCAAGGACATTGGTCCAGGGTGAGCCCTGTGAGACACTGTAGGATGATGAACAACAGCTGCTGAGCTGAGAAGTTCAGGCTCAAGCTGGTACCCCTGGAAGTGACACAGCTTGTATGAACTGTTTGCAGCCTGATCTACTTTGTTCATGCCCATTCTTCGGAGAAGTAACTGCAGTCTGATGGGAACACTTTAGGACATGCTATGGCATCTTTAGATTGGATTTGGACACCCCTCGTGCTGCAAGAATGTTCTGGGTACTGTGACGTCACTGGTGGTGGACATTTCAGCAAGAAGCAACTTGAGGTTTGTATATAGGATGACACTGCAATCCAGCACTGGAGCAAATGATTTTCATTGCAAACTACTCAGGAACTACAGGATCTGGCACACACTGACCTTTTGATTGACACACGGAATGCATTGATTAGAATGACTCCACTGAACACGTATCACAAAATCATTTAGCCATAAATCTGCAGAAAAGGTTCAGAAGCAGAGCAGAGGATGAAATTATCCAAGCAGTTTATTGCAGAAATTTGTCTCTGACTTATCAAAGCTTCCTCTATATCTGATGCCTGAGCCTGCCTATCTTCCTACCTTCTACAATTTGCAGGTTTTAAAAGCAAGCAAACAAAACCTCATCCCAGGATTACAGAATCACTGAACTGTTGAGGTTTGGAGGGACCTCTCAAGATCTCCTAGTCCAGACTCCTGCTCAAGCAGGGTCAGCTAGAGCAGGTTGTCCACAATCATGTCCACTTGGGGTTTGAGCCTCTCCAGCAATGCAGACTCCACAACACCTGAGGTGGGCAACGTGAGTCACCCTAATCCCACAGCCTTCCTAAGGAGGTGAGGGACAAGCCAACAGCACACTCTCAGGGACAGCTAATGAGGAGAGGAAGGTACTAAGACCTGTATCTGGGCATGGAGCAAAAGGCAAACAAGGCCCTTCTGGTTTCAGTGAGAAGCTCTGATTTCCTTGCCCGTGGGCTCACAACAAGAGAAGGACACAAACCTGTTGGAGTGGAGTCCAGAGGAGGCCACAAAGGTGTTCTGAGACCTGGAGCACCTCTTCTCTGGAGACAGGGTGACAGCGTTGTGACTGCTCAGCTGGAAAAGGCTCTGAGGAGAATATAGATCCTATTCCATTACCTAAAGCGTCTCCATGAGAGTTGGAGGGGGACTTTGAACAAGGGCATGGACTGACAGGAGAAGGGGGATTTAAACTGACAGAAGGCAGGGTCAGACTACGTATTAGTAAGAAATTCTTCCCTGTGAGGGTGGTGAGGCTCTGACACAGGTTGCCCAGAGAAGCTGTGGCTACCCCATCCCTGGAAGTGTTGAAGGCCAGGTTGGACATGGCTGTGAGCAACCTGGTCTAGTGGAAAGTGTTCCTGCCGTTTTGCAGGGGGTTTTTGAACTAGATGAACTTTGAGATCCCTTCCCACCCAAATCATTCTGTGATTCTGTGACATGTGGGAAAAGCCCCCAACCCAGGATGTGAGGCTTATGTACGGGGACAGTCCGCATGGAACAGAGAAACCGCTCCCCTCTTATACAGCTGGGCCAACATTTGCTCCAGTGCCCCCAGCTTGAGGACCCGGACGTTGTTCTGGTTGTTCTGGGCAATGGCTCCCCAAGCAATCATGGTGTTTTTGGTGGTCTTGCAGCAGGCACTGGCCCAGATGTGGCTGGGTACATTAACCCTGTTTTGGGAGATGAAGGAGTTCCCAGGCACAGCCCCCACAATGGCATAGGTGGTTTGACAGTCCTTGCTTTTCTTGGCCATTGTTTTCTGCTCATAGAGGTTCCAGGCGCCGTTGTTGAGCTCAGTGTCCTGGGGCACTATGTTGGTCAAGGTGAAGGTCGCGTTCCTGCCGTCCTGGGTGTTGTGATGGGCAGCGGGGTTCAAATGGCCACGGTCCAAATTGTTAAGGTGCAGGTAGTCTTGGTAGACAGCCTGGCTATTGCTGATATCCTTTTGGCTGACTGAGTAAGTTTCTCTGAGGGTCTTCTCTGTTTCCATATCTTTGGGCAAATTGTTACGGATCAGCTTGACAGGTAAGGAAAAGGAAAGAAAACATGTTAGTATTGGGGATGGGAGTCATGGAGCAAGTCTCCCTGGAGCAGAAGTCTCTGAGTGTCAAGACTGAATTTCTTATTGCCTCATTCATTGTATGAAAATGTATAAATCTAGAGAAATCTTATAGCTGCCCCTCCTAGATGAACACAAGAGGTTTTAAGACAAAAGAAGCTCAGAATGTGACTTCTCCCTTTTGACTTGGGACCTTTGTGATCCAGCCTGCAGCCTTTGCTGGGAGTGTGGCTGGATCTATGAGATTAACAGTTTCCACTCCTAGGTTTGATGAGAAACCTTCCCTGACATATTGGTTCCACTGTGTCCTGTCTCCACACCCCACATCTGTCCAGGGCTCTCCCCAGATCCTCCCACCCCCATTCTCTCATTCTCTGACTCCATATGTGGCTGCTACAGGTGTACCACAATCCTGGAACACCAGTGTTTGCCTCCTGTAACCCCAGACACAGGGAGATGTATTGAGAAACCAGTCCTAGAGGTGAGGTTTCCCAGGGGGGGCTACAGGTCACTGAAAGGATGAAAGATTTTTTTGACCTGTTCTGAGGAACCAAGGTACTGATAAAGGACCTCTGGAGAAAGTTACCAAAATCAAAGAGTTTGCAGGTGGCCTGGCTCCATTGTCCAGGAGGAAGAGGGCCAGGTTGGATGGGGCTCTGAGCAACCAGATCTAGTGGGAGGTGGCCCTTCCCATGGCAAGAGGGTTGAAATGAGATGATCTTTGAGGTTCTTTCCAACACAAACCCCTCTATGATTCTGTGATTCTATGAAGAGTGAGAAGCTTTTATCCCTGCCCTGCCCTAAATGTGGAGGCTGCAGTGGTGCAATATCCTATTAGTTGTTTGAATTCCAATGAATACAAAGTGCAAATGGTTTAATGGGGTATTTTAGAACTTCATCACCCTTCTCTTCATCTTTGGGGAAACATATTTATTCTCCCTCTGGAACAGGGCACATGGCTTTTTCTCTGGTTCATGAACACCTACATTCCATCCTGCTACTCTGTCCTTAGCAACAACCTTAACTTCCTCTCTTTCTGTTCCACAGTTTCCAAGGTCTTTTTTACTGGAGGTCTGAGGGACATTTGGGAAAGCTCTGTTGTTTGTGGAGGTCTGTGTGTCTGGTGGATCCTTCTGAAGCAAGCCTGAGGCAACAGTGCTCAGGGGCAACTGCCCATGGATGGAGATCACCCCCTTCTGACTGGACTGACACTGATGCTCCTCACTTT